AAAAAAAAAAAAAAAAAAGAAATCAATGTAGTTACAACTCATGAACAACTGGAAGCTAATACCTTGTGCTCGAAGCTGTACCAGCTCCTCACTGAGAGAATCGACAGATTCCTCCAGCTGTCTTTTCTTTTGCTCCACATTTTGAAGATACTCAGTCAACGACTTGATTTTGGCTTCGTGCTTTGGGAAAAAATATACTGATAGGAAGCAGAAAAAAACCTCACACATACTTTGTTGTTAAGAATATCTGAAAGGAAGCAAGTTTCACTGATATATCTAAATACATGGAAAACGTGAAGGGATTTTATCCTGAAGTATTCAGAGATCAGATTTAAAACATTAAAGAAGTTAACTAATTAAATGGTCATCTGCATAGCTCATGGCACTTACAAACTAAGACACTAAAGGCTGAAATACATGGTAATGTTCTTACAGTAACCTCCACGTAGTATTACTTACTACCTGCCATTGAAATTTTCTATCTTGGTGAATGCCCCCTACTAACCTAATGCTAGAATGGGTCCCCTACAGTTTGGCTTACCCTGGAATAATTCTAGAGTCTTCAACAGTCACCTCAGTCTAGTAAACTTCTATACTTCATATTGGCAAATATAGCCCAGATAAACTATTTAAGTTGTAATGCAGGGAGACTAGAAAAACAACTTGATCAAATTAAGCTTTTTATTACTAAAAATAATTTACAGCCAGGCATGGAGTCCCAGCACTTGGGAGGCTGAGGCAGAAGAACTGCTGCAAGTTCAAGGCCAGCCTGGACTACACAGTGAGTTCAAGGCCAGGCTTTACTACATAGTGAGACTCTGTCTCAAAAAAACAACGCCCCCTCCAAAAGCCTACCGAAGCTCATTCTCCTGAAAACCTTTCTAAGAAATGAAATTTAATATTAATATTAATAATATTTTATTTTGAAATAAAATATTGAAAAAACGAGGTAAGTTTGGTCCAAACACCTACCTGAGAAATACGAAGCTGGCATGCTGCTAACTCTTTTTCATTTTCTTCCATCTTCTTGTTGCTCTCAGTCTGTGTGCTTTCTAACTGTTTGCAGCGCTTCACCACCGTTTTGACCTCTGACTTCATCTTGCTAATGTACAGCCTGGCGACAGTGAATTCTTCATCTATCATGCCAGTTCCCTCAGGCTGCTGTGAGATTAAAAAAGTGAAATAAAAAAATGTTAAGCCAAAAGTGTGCACTGTATGTTTTCTCAAGATTTTAAAATCTTAAAACAAAATTTAATATACAATATTCATAGGAAA